TCCCAGCGGTTCTGCAGTAACAGACATCAAAGGCAGCTAGAAAAAGACTTTATTCAAGTTTTGAATGATTTGGTTCCAAGAGATGTGTAATAACAGACAAATTTGGTTTCATTTTGAAGAAAAGAAATTCTACTTCCTTGCATTTGAAACACACGCACACACACAAATGCTGTACTCTTTTGGTTATCATTAATGTGACAATGTGCATGCTTAACTTTATAAGAGGAGGAGTTGGAACCGTGTTTGGTTTTAAGTCTAGAGGCTTGAGGAACTCCCTGACTTCAGGTTCTTAGTTGAAAGTTGAACCAGGACATACCCTAACTGTCCTCACCCTTAACGGCGAAGGCTGGGAAAGCCGAGCCTGTCACAGGCTGCACAGCACGAGACAGAAAGCAGTGCCTGGCTCAGAGTGGATGGAGTGAGTCTGTTGTTCTGTGTGGACACAATTGCCCAGTTGTGTGATTTAGTCCAATTCACGTGTACAGTGGACCAGAAACAGTTGGGTTGAGAGTTACCCTGTAGGTCACCATCAGTACTTCTGTTAGTAAAGAGCAAGGGAAGCTAGAGGAAGGAAAATGTGAGTGTCATCTTGTGTGTGTGACAAGTTCTTTGCTCATTCCTTCGTCACTGAATGCTGCGGTGCCCTTGGATCTGAGAATAAGAAGGAATGAGGTCAGTCCTGCTTTGAGGTGCTGGCGGTGTCCTGAGCGCCCACTCCACACTGGCTGCTGCTTGGAACTTGCACAGAATCTCTCTCTCATCTTCTCCACCCAGAACCTCCAATCATAGGCCTCAGCTATGAATTTCTAAGTCAAAACCCTGCAGAGAACACGTTTTCTCAATATAGTATCATTTTCCCTTGCTAAGCCTGTCCATCACTGTTTGGCAACATAAGGAACCCACAACAGTTTAAAATAATAATTTTATGACACGGGGCAGTGTTCACTGTCCTCGATGAGCACTCAGAGCCTCCAAGTTCCGGCCCCACCACTTGTCTCTTCTTGCACTTGCGTGTGACTCCTCTGTGGTGGCAGTTTCTGCCAAAGGTAGTCAGTCCCCATGAGCACCTGTGCCAGGTGGTCCGTCCCCGTGGGCACCTGTGCCGGGTGGTCCATCCGTCCCCGTGGGCACCTGTGCCGGGTGGTCCATCCGTCCCCGTGGACACCTGTGCCGGGTGGTCCGTCCCTGTGGGCACCTGTGCTGGCCAGTTTTTGTTGTCAACTGAAGACACCTGGGAAGAGGGACTCTTGATTGAAGAACTGCCTCTCTTCAATTGGCTTGTAACTGTGTCTGTTAGAAGTTTTGACTGTTGATTGGCTCTCACGCCCACTGTGAGTGGCACCCTCCCTCTGCAGACATATGAAGGCTAGAAAAGCATCCTTCCTACATGGTTCCTGCCTCCAGCTTACTAACTTGAGTTCCTGCCTCACTTCCCTCCACAATGAGCCATGACTTGGAAGTGTGAGCTGTGATAAACCGTTTTCTCCCCAGCTGCTTTCTGGTCATGGCGTTCGGAGCAACAGAGCAGAACCTAGGATGATAATAGCTAATGCCTAGTGGTCTGCGTTTCTTACATAGGCTTATCGTTAGTGCACAAGAATAATTTCCAACTAAACTTAGTAGGACAATTGGACTCGACCTGGCAGCTGCGCAGTGCCTGCTTCTGGCATGGCCGTAGGTGGCTTGGAGGTGTCCCCAGGGTACCTGCACAGGGCTGAGCCAGCCCCAGCATCAGCATCAGTGGTCTCCCGAGGGTTGGTGCCCAGCACGCTGGGGGAATGTTAAAACCAGCAAGCACGAGTAATGTTTGTAATGCTTGGACGGGACAGGTTTTGAGAGTGAGGAACCTGCCTCACAAGTTCTTGTCCCAGACACGTGCAGGGTTTGCGGCGGGAATGTGAGAAACTGCTTATGCAGGACCCGTCATACAGAAATGCATTCCTTTTTCAGGGTTTTCTGTGTGGCACTGGTTACCTCTTCACACAAGTAAACCATAGGCGTTGCTGTTGTGTATAACGTGTAGCCAGGAAGGTTGTGTTAGAATTGACATGGTGGCACGTTGAATTAATCTTGAACAGAACGTATTTTAAGGAACCTTCAAATTATTTTAAAGTAACACCTCCATAATTAGTAGTTTTATGAGTTTGGAGGGTTTTTCCACTAACTGTAAAGATAGATATATCCACTTAGTGCAGTGCTTCTCAGTCTCCCTGCTGCTGCGACCCTTTAATATAGTTCTTCATCCTGTGGTGACCCCAACTGTAAAATTATTTGCATTGCTACTCATAACTGTAATTTTGCTGTGATATGAATCATAATGTAAGTATCTGATACACGGGATATCTGATATATGAGCCCCCAAAGGGGTTGTGACCCACAGGTTGAGAACCACTGACTTTGTTTATAAATTGATTTTGCCCAGATTTACCAAAAATAAAACTGTGTCTTCAAAATTTACAGTGTAGCATAACTAATATAAACACTTTGAGTGTGCACTACCGTAAGTTGATTAGTGTGCCCCTCGTGTCTGCCTGTCTTAAAGTGAGCAGTTGTTTAAAAATTTGACTTTTAGTAATGTCACATTAGCAATGGCATGACTATCATTGGTTAAAACATTTTATTTTTAGCAGGGCGGTGGTGGTACATGGCTGACCTACAAGAGCTAGTTCCAGGATAGACTCCAAAGCTACAGAGAAACCCTGCCTTGAAAAACCAAAACAAACAAAACAAAAACCATTCTATTATTATGTACAAATCCATATAGGGCATTCACAGTTTTTTCCAACAACTTTTTCTGTGCTTATAATCTTTGTAGCCTAGGAAAAAATAATACAACAACATATTTTTTACCTGGCATGTGAAATAAAATTTTAATTTATTAGTCTAAAAATTCTATTACTGACTTTAGAAAATCTGGAGAAGCTGTATGTTTGGGGTGTTGAGGATGGCTCAATATTTGTAAAATGTTACTCGCATGACGATAAGGACCTAAGTTTGAGTCACTCGCACCATATAAAAACACAGACGTATGTATCTGTAACCCCAGCTGTGGGGAGCAGTCGCAGCTGGATCCCCAGGGCTAACCCAGCTGTGGAGATCAGGTACAGCTGGATCCCCAGGGCTAACACAGCTGTGGAGATCAGGGACAGCTGGATCCCCAGGGCTAACCCAGCTGTGGGGAGCAGTCGCAGCTGGATCCTCAGGGCTAACAAACAGTGACAGCTGGATCCTTAGGGCTAACCCAGCTGTGGAGATCAGGGACAGCTGGATCCCCAGGGCTAACACAGCTGTGGAGATCAGGGACAGCTGGATCCCCAGGGCTAACACAGCTGTGGGGAGCAGTCGCAGCTGGATCCTCAGGGCTAACCCAGCTGTGAGGAACAGTGACAGCTGAATCCTCAGGGCTAACCCAGCTGTGAGGAACAGCGACAGCTGGATCCCTAGGGCTGAGTAGCAAGCTCCAGGTTCAGTCAGAGACCCTTTTTCAAAAGTAAGATGGAATTTAAGAGAGGAAGACACCTCAGATACTGATCTCTCTGACCTTGCGCAAATGTATGAACACATCTGTATGTGTCCAACATGGGGAGAGGTGTTTCTCTAGCAATATGGTTAAATCAAGTCTCGCAAACTAATAAGGCAACTTTAATTGAACTTAAATAGAATATTGTCCACCTTAAGGTAGAATTTAACTGACCCAGACCAGTGAAGATTTAAAAGACATACTTGGTGGCATTAAATGAGAAGTGTTTTTGAGATTTCTGGCTGTATTAAAGAGCTCTGCTGCCTTTAATAACTGCATTAACTTAATAAAGAGTTATAAAAGATCAACCGCGGAGTTCCTCAGTAGAAGTTATTCAGGATCTGCCAGGTTTGGCTCATTGCCACTGCCTTCTCTGCTGCTCATGGCTCTGAGCAGTTGTAGTCAGACGGAGATGCTATGAGTCTTCTGAGTTAACACGCTGTGTATGTCCAGCACCTGAGAAGGTTTTCCTGCTCTCAGACAGTGCCTGCCTTCAAGGGATGTTTACTAGGGAGGCTTATTAAAGTTCTATTTATTACACTTACTATAAAAGTAGAGTGACGATAAATAAAAGTACTACAGAACGTGTAATTGAAATAATTTGGAGTATAATTTAAATTGATTTCCCTGTTAATTTAGAAATATTAAGAACATTTAGTTACAATTTAAGATGTGTCCAAACATATCATGATGGAGATGATATTAACAGAATTGTGTCTTGTTCCTGAATTATTTGAAAAAGAGTGTTGGCTTTATTAATTGTAAAAAAGAAAAGAAACAGAAAAGCTACAAGTAGGTTGGCCTTACTGTAGAGGTGGACACTCACTCTTGCCCAGACTGACCTCAGGCTCACAGTCTTACCGCCATCTCTCAACAGAGTCTCAGTAGTGTGCAGCCTAATCCTGCTGTCCTGCTTTTAGAGATATAAAATGTATGAGGCCAGCAATTACTTATGCAAGATGTAACTGAGATGCAGAACCCTGTGTAGATATATCTGGCATGGGTTAAAACATTATATTGTCATGTAGACATCTTTGCAAGATATTAATAGTGTTTTCAATGACTTTTTAAGTGTGTTTATAATCCCTGTAATAGAGGAAGCAATGAGACAAAACACTATTAATTTACCCACTGTGTGAAGGAAATTTAAATTTTTTCAAGAAATCACTATTGTCAGTCTAAAAGTTCAGTTGCTTAAGTTTGGTAATAAAGAGAATGTATATATTTTTCTGACAGTATAAGTAAATCAAGTGTTGCAAATAAACTGATTTTTCTTACACATGTATAGAGTATATGATAAAGCTTCCCAAATTTTACCTTTTCACTCCTCTGGATTTTAGGACTGAGTGTGGGGACAGCTCTGACCAGTGCTGACTAATGCTGGGTTTTCCTGGTAGAAAAGTGGCTGTGAGCTGGAACAGAATTGTGACCAGTCGCTAGGATGGGATTTAAATGAGTTTTTTTTTCCTCTCACAATTAGGCTATCAGCTGCAAAGGCTTGCACAGCGTGTCCTACACCCTGTCCAGGAACCAGACCGTGGTGGTGGAGTACACGCATGACAAAGACATGGACATGTTCCAGGTAACGCTTCATCTTTAATGGGAACTCTTAGGTTTCCCTTTGCTTGTGGATTTTGTCATGCAACCAGAACATCTGCCCCAGAGCCATTCAGTCACGCCCAGGGAAAAGAAGTGAGAATAATAGAAAAATCCCTCCCATTCTAAAGGGTAAGAGGAGTTGTACTCTGTGTCCTCAGATAACTTTGGTTGTTTGCTCATGTGCTTTTGAGATTGTATTAATTCCAGCATTTCTCCCTCCCATTTCTTCAATTCTCCCGCATACTCATCCCGACTCTCCTTCAAGTTCATTTTTATTCATCAATCTTAATGGAATAAAAGATTATACTAACAATAGACAAAAAAAGTAAAGCCAGCCTCCTTTAAAATAAAAATAAAAGAAGAATTTTTCAAGTAGCACAAGTCAGAGAAGACATAAAAATATTAGAGGCTTCCAGAAATAATTGGAACAGGGTATGAAAACACGTGTGATGTGGCTGACACCTTCTAGAAAATGTAAAGCCCAAGTGCTTTCTTGATTGAGTTTAGGACGATATGATTTGTAGTGAAATTAGTAAGTGCTTATCTCAAAAAAGCGTTTTTGACCTTTAAAAAGTATAGGATGAGTATAGAAAGAAGTATAAAAGGAAGAATCAAAAGCATATTACAGAATCTGGAGATGAACCAAACAACAGCAGTAGAGATAAGAAAATACCAGCCAATGAAGCTGAAAAGAAAAGACTTAGAAATACACCCAGGACTCAATACCGAAGAGACAGCAGAGAGTTGTTCTGTTGGTTTTTGTTGTTTATGTTTTGTTTTGTTTTTTCAAGACAGGATTTCTCTGTCCTGAAACTAGCTCTTGTAGACCAGGCTGGCCTCAAACTCACAGAGATCTGCCTGCTTCTGCCTCCCAAAGGCTGGGATTAAAGGCACGCACCACCTCCTGGGTAATAATGGAAAGTTTTAATGTGGACTCCTGAAGACGGAAGGCAGAACTGAACCCAGGAGATGAGCCCTGCACTTACGCATGGGGAGGACCTCCATGGGCAGAGTGCGGGCAGGATGGAGAGACAGAGGCCCTCCAGCAAAGCTAAGATGGTGTCATAAGATTGGGTAGCAAAGGAAGCAGCAGAATTTGTGTTTCAGTGTAGCTTCTTTATGAATGTCAGAAACATGAAAGGTGGAGTGGGGACTTGAAACAGCAAATCCAGGTGCCTTCCCGTATTAACCATTTCCCCAGACTCTACGAAAGAAACAAGAGCAAAACGGGACAGCTGTCACAATGAGAACCACATAGCCAGTAACTCTATTTTAAGATTATTAAACACAGACTAGCTCATGGCAGAGCACTCCTTCCTTTGTTAATCGGGGACATAGCACAGAGCACCGTGTGTGGACGTGGCTCTGGACAGCACCGTGAGTGACCACCACAGGGCAGAGTTTCAGTGGCTCCAGTGACGTAAACCATTCATTTATGCATAAGCTAGTGGCTGTATATAAACCATATAGTTACTAATTTATACATAAGCAATTAAGGAATATGAAGTGTGACTTTACTACAAATGTGGTAAAGAATTACATTTCCTAACAAAAAGCCATAGGTGAGTGCACACTTCAGCATAAATTGAGTGGGTAGGCCAGAAAGACCCAGGGCTCACGTGAACTTCAACAGCTCTGACCAGCAGAAGAGCCAGCAGAACTGTCCTCAACATTTTGAAGAAATACTTAGTTATATTTATAGCTATCAGATTAAAAATTAAGATCAAAATTGCTGTAAGTAGCATTCTGAGGAAGAAAACTGTCTCCGAACTAATATTGTAAAATTTTAAATGATTAAATTTTCAAGGATTTTTTATTAAGTAATCATTATATAAATTGCTCAAGTTAAAATATCCTGATCCTTGGGTGCTAGAGAGATGGCTCAGCAGTTAAGAGCACTGACTGCTCTTCCAGAAGTCCTAAGTTCAATTCCCAGCAACCACTTTGTGGCTCACAACCATCCATAATAGTGTCTGATGCCCTCTTCTGGCATGCAGACATACATGCAGATAGAGCACTCATATACATTCAATAAATAAATAAATCTTAAAGGAAAAAGTCTTAATCCTAACATCCCCACAAAACATAATAAAATTTCTATTTTAGTTAAATTTTTTTACATCCAAAATAAAAACAACAGGGAAGTGACAGTGGGAGAAATATGTCCAATGCATGTCACAAACAGTGATACTAGACAGTGAGTCCTATAGTCAGCATCAGAGCCAGTTACAGTCGCTTACTGTGAAGTGCCAAATGATTAAGTCATGGCATTAAATAAGGCAGTAATGACAAATACTATTACTAAATATTATATTAACTATTAAATTAGTATCACTGAATGACTTAAACAATTCATAGAAACTCTATAAATAGTCCCTAAAATGGTAATTAAAACATTGACTTGGCAGCTTTCTTTGTGAGGGAAGAACTAGGCAGTTGGTGTGCAGATTTGGGGACCTTGACGTCTAGACAGCCAGGCACTGTAGATGAGCAGCAGACAGAACAGTTTGGAAGCAAGGTTGCAGTTATCACCCACAGTACTAGCAACAGCGTCGCTCTCCAGGCCAGCCCACGTGCCTCCTGAGTGCTCGCTTCTGCATTACGCCAAGGATGGACACACGCTTCCTATCAGTAGTACTATTGTAGAACTTTATAATGATGTTTAATGCTTTAAAAAAAAAAGTATTTTGTGTGTGTGTATTTTCCACTGCCAAGCCTTTTTACTGCAAGTGAGATGGGAGCGTTCTCAACACTAATGAAGAGTGTCGTGGCTGTTTTACAGTTGTCCCTGACTCTTTCCCACCCTGCAGTCACAACTGCTCTTTCCCATGAGGAGGGAAGGCAGGTGCTGCTGATGAGAGACGGTGTACTTTTTAAAGGAGAATTGTGGTCCTTTCCCACAGCCAGGCAGCATCCTCTGGAAGAGTGTGGTCGTCTTTGTGTCCTTCCCTTCTCAGAAGGAATAAAGCTGTAGTTGGGTATTTTTTCAGCTAACTTCTGAGTGCCTCCTTTTGTCACAGTACTAAAAAGAGTCAAGATTTAATAAAATCGAGACTTTTTCACTGGCGAGTGTGTGGCAATGCAGAGAGGGTGCAACCTGAGCGTCCACTGGAGCACCACAGTGCCTGTGACTAGTACCCGACCCCCATCTTCACAGAGGGCATCACAGGGGGATGGAAGTGCCATCTTTATTTTATTCTGGAAGAAATTCGGGTTTATAGACTTACACTCCTTGATGGGGCAGAGCCTCGAGGTCCCTCTGGGGAAAATAGACCATGGTCTTACAAAATACTGATTTGTGGGCTGGGAAGACGGCTCGGGCAGTGCACAAGCATGGACCTGTGTGATCGCCAGCATCGACATAAAAGCCAAGGGTGGTAGAGATCTAGACCCCTAGGATGGGCAGATCCAAGAGCTAGCCAGTCTAGTCAGGTATCCCCAAAATAAGGTAAAGAGAATCAGCAAAGGGACCCAGTTGGTAAAGGCATTTGCCACCCAGCCTAATGACCCAAGTGTGATTCCCACAACCCACAAGGTTAGAGAGGACAGCTCAGGCAAGATGCCCTCTGACCTCCACACAGTGCCTCACATGCCCGCCCCCGACCTCTGTGCCACATATACACACCATACAAAAGAAATAAACAAACGGAAAAACTAAAGATAAATAATGGTGACAGTGACTGAACAGACACTGACTTCTGGCTTCTTGAGTGTGTGTGTGTGTGTGTGTGCATGCGCACACAGACATACCCTTTACATATATATACAGAAAAAGGGAAAATACTGATTTTTTTAGTTGTTTTTTGCCAGCCTCTAAGTTGTGGACCTGAAAATTCAGGACTTTAAAGGAGAAAGCTACTTAAACTAAGGTCAGAAATGATAGTTAAATAAATAGATTTAGATCTTTAACAAGACAAAAAGATTTTCTAAGTTTTTTTAAGAAAACATGACACTGGTGGCTTTTCCTGAGTAATCTTATTGTTTTAAATGTGTCTCTGTGTGTGGAGAGGTGGTCACAGAGGCTGGGAGAGGTGCTTATCTCCCAGAACTGTGTTTCTGAAGGCTGTAAGCTGCCTTGTGTGGGTGCCGGGAATCAAATTTAAACCCTCTGGGAAAGAGCAAGTGCTCTCAATGCTGAGCCATTCTCCAGCCCTGAGATAGCTACCACTCACTGTCTACAATGGTAAATAAAGCATTGTGATAGGAACTAGCTGAGCTCTGTTTTGTTTTGTTTTTGGAACAAGGTCTCACATTGTAGACCAGGCAGGACATGCGCTCACAGAGATTCACCTGCATCTGCCTTCCGGGTGCTGGGATTAAAAGTGTGTTCCACCATGCCCAACTTTTTCTTCTTTAACAAGCGGGTACGTTTGGATTCCACTGGCAAACATTCTCTGTCTGAAGGATGGGCCTTGACCTTGAAGGCTGCGCTCTGCAGCTTCCCCGTTAGCTTGACACTGGCTTTTCAGGTGCAGTGGTAGAGTACCGGCGAGCGGTTAGGGCTAGATTTAAGGATGGCAAAGTCTAAATTCATGTACACAAGCGAGATGGTGGTAATTGCCTCCTAGATCTGGAATAACGAAGACGGAAATACAGAAGGAAACACTCAGCAAGAGAGTAAAACAGAATGTGAGAGAATCAAAGGAAGAGACAGATGCCATGCAGTGTCCCTCAGATGGGACAGAGTCCCAAGTGCACTCTGACCATGATGTGACTGTAGTTCAGACATAGCACCTAATTAGCATCAGTTTAGTTAAAGAAAAACAATAATACCTCCATTTTAAATTATTGTTCTTGGAAATGTCTTGTACTGTGTGTGTATGTGTGTGTGTGTGTGCATGTGTGCGTGCGTGCGCGCTCACAGAGTTGGTCACCATTAGAGTTCTTTATCATCTTAGTATATGCATCATACATATGAATGAAATTTATGCCCTGGCTATGCTGAAGCACACATGGGCAGCCCGTATGTGGCAGTTCTGTTGAATTTGTCCATATTGGGTTTCATGGTCTAAGTTGATGAGGACAACTGACCAGGTCTCTTCCTCAGTATCATATGCAGACACGCATGCGTGCACGCACGTGCGCGCGCGCACACACACACACACACACACACACACATACACACACACACAGAGTACATCTACTATGCCAGATACCTGGTCATGGGATAGAGCGCTAGGGCTGTAGCTCAGCCTGCCTGACATATGCAGTCCCCTTTTACCACTAACACTGTGCATTATATACAAGACCAGACAGACAGGGAGACTACCCATCATCAGGCATTCCAGGTCGACAGCGAGTTACCAGAGCTCCAGACTGGAATGGGAAAGCAGGAAGGAAGTGAGGGGAGATAGTCTAAGCAGATGAATAGAGTGAGAAGGAGGAGCTAGGTAAATTAGAATCCCTGTATACAGTGATGATAACTGGAGCCACACAGGGAAAGTGGAAGGACTTGCAGTGTGCTTGGAAGCTCCATTGACAAGATTATACAGAGCGACCGTGTGGCTGGCTGTGAAGCAAAGTGAAGACTGAGGACAGCCATTGCCATGAGAGCGGGGCTACAGGTGCTCCAGAATGTGCATGATCCCAAATGAAGGAGCAAGTGAAGGTTAGGGGAGCCAGTCAGGAGCGGATCCGTAGGAAAGGCCATGGCTCTACTGTGTCGAAGAAAAAAGAGTCAGAAGATAAGGGTATCGAGGGAGGGAAAGGAGAACGAGAGAGGCCTTTGTGCCGCTTCAGCGTCATCTTCCTGGGCTCCACTGGCATTCAACAAATGAGCTTGGATTCTATATAAAATTTCGAGTCCGGTGAGTGAAGTTCTCACTACAGTTACTCTCTGAATGCCAACATTCTATGAATAGCAGATGAATTTAGAAGCATCTTGGCTTGTGTACCACTTAACTGTCAAATGAAATTTAGAGGCATCTCTGCTTGTCTACACGACTGCCTGTTAGGAAATGTGGAGCTGGACACAGAAGAAAGGACGGGCTGCAGGTTTCCCACACCAGCTGCGTTTCCGATAAGAAAGTGGCTAAAATTTCTTTGCTGGCAAAAGCAATCTGAAGCTTGTGTCTTAAAGGAGAAAGGCCAACACTTTGGAGGTTAGAGGCAAATGGAGGTGAAGTGATAAGTCATTATATGACCAGCCACGTAAGAGCGTGGCTTAAAATAATTGATCCTAAGTGAGTTTAGTATCTTAGGGTAAAGTCACAATGTGGCACTCCTGGAGGGAAGTAATTGCTGCGGGTGTGAGGTGCTGGGGCCAGACGTGGGCCTGTGTGGCGTCTCAGAAGAGTGCTCACTTTTAGCGAGATGCATGAACATAGGACATGGGGTTTATTCAGGTTTTGTGAGCAGGGAGATATGAGCTTCTCACATTTATTCCACTCCTAAACATCTTCTGGAATAAAGTTCAGGGTGAAGCATGCTGCCGAGTCTGAGGAAGCCTTCTTTTCTCCTTTATTTGCTTCTATAGATATTAAATATTTGCAGCATTTGTGACCCTTCCTTTAAAAAGTAAAAGCTTTTGAAAGGAAAGAAATGTAGAGCTTGCCTCCCCAGGATCCACACAGGATGAGGCTAGTTGGTCCAGCTTGGGGGGGCTGACAAGGCCCCACCCTCACTGAGGAGCACTTGACAGCTCTTTGAGGTTGTGGATGCTGGCTGGTGGGTGGACTGTACCCGACGCCAATGAACAGGTGGGCACCACTGATGGACTCAGGTTTAAGGGAAATAACAAGTTGGGAGTAGGATTTGGAGAGGCATCCAGAAGGAGGTGGGGTGAGGAATAGAGGCTGGGTGTGACCAAAACGCGTTGTATACAATATAAAAAAACCTCAGGTAACATGTTGAAAATATGTTTCTAAAAGGAAAGGAGATGTACTTTCATTCTATGCTTTTGTACATTTTTATTTTGATATATATATATTAAATTTATTAATAAGTAATTTCAAGTTTAAAAAAAGACTCATGGCTTTCTCAGTAGAGCTAAGTTACACATCCATCTTGAAAAGGGATCCAGCAGAGGGAAGGTTGTACAACTTTATAATGATGAAGTCTATGGTATGGTTTTATGGGATCTCTAATTTAGATTTTTTTATGTTGCATTTTTAAGCAAGTTATATGTTTTCTAAGCCTGAAATGCATACAGCTAAGCAATATACAACTGCTTATGTTGATGAGTTTGAGTGTAGCCAGTAACCTCATTTATTCCAGGCACATTTCATCAGAACAAGGAATTAAGGGCCATTGAAAAGCAAGAGGAAATAGGCGTTTGTTGACTGTTGGCTCTATGGGGGTAGTCTGTGTGTGGGAACATGCAGGAGACATTTGCAGAGGAAATAATGTCTCTTCTGAGAAGCATGCAGAGCTAGATGAAGTAAGATCTCTTTACTCATTTGAATTTTCTTTTAAATCATGTTTTTTACATTGCTTATCTTTTCAGACAGAATTCAGGATCAGAATAAAAACACCTTGAAAATTGATTTTCATAGCCTTATGTGCATACATGTCAAGACCCATGTGTTCCTCCCACTGGCAGGAATCAGTCTCTGTTTCTAAGCAAGGGCATTAGTGGCATAATTAGTGAGGAATTCTTCATCTTCATGTAAATGGTTTTGATTGAAGGCCATGTTTGTCTATGCCTTCTGGGCAGACCATAGGGAGCATCAGTATATAAGTATTTAATATCCCATCCTGAGGATTTCTTATTCATAAGCAAATGTGTCTTCTGGTTCGCTGGAGGAAGCAGGGCCTGTTTTAGCGGAATCTACTAAACAGGAAAGGCTGTTAAAACTCTTAAGATCGTAGTGAAATACAATCTCCTGGTAGCTTTGAAATCTCACCAAGGAAAGGAAGCCACTATAATATTGGTAGCAAGATTCAGACTTCCACAGAGAGGTTTCCTTACAATCCCAACGTGAGGTGCTGAGTCTAGCTTCTAAATATTTCCTTCACTCACCTTTCAAACATTGGGCTGATTTGGAGAAGCCCCCATGTTCTCCCCGGGTTCCCTGAGCAGCGGCAGCCACTGTTTTTCCACTGTCCCGTGCAAGGGCTTTGTGTGCTCGGTGCTGTGAGTCATGGACTGACTGACTCAGGGAGCCCAGCGGGTAAAGAGTTCCTTTGTTTCTTTAAAAGTTTGCTTCCTCCGGAAATAGAAAACAAAGAATAATCTGCTGTAAAAGTAGTATCTCCAACTGGAACCAAGAGAGAAAATCTAACGTCATTTTCCCAGAATAGGAAATAGGAGCTTTCTCATAATACTTAAAATTGGTGGATTAACAGACAGTCATAAAGTTTCAGTTAAAATGAGTAAGATCTAGGTATCTGCTGTATAGCATTATACCTGTGTGTGTGTATATAACACACAAACACACACACACACACACACACACTAACATTATACCTGTAGTGTTGAGCGTTTTTATGTGCCCATCTCAGGTTGGGGAGATAGCTCAAATTAGTAAACTTATTGGCTCTCAAGCTTGAAGACCTAAATTCAAGTCCCAGAACCTCCTCTAGTAGTCTCAGTGCTGGAGGAGATGTAAATAGGCTCACTGCAGCCTGCTGAACTACAGGCCAATGAGAGACTATATCAAAGGAGGTTACAGCATCTTTAAAGATGACATCTAAGGTTGTGTATGCATGTGAATACACACACACACACACACATACACACACACACACACACCCTTGATGGGGGAGGGGTGCACTCTCATTAAGTATTGGTACCATGATAAAATGAAGTGGGTTTTTGAAAAGATCTGATGGTTATGTACTGTAATTTCTCTCTTGGGTAGGAAGGAAGGACGCACAGTTGACAGGGTTCTAGACTCCCGGTCCTGTGAATACAGTGCAGAGCCTGGTGTTTTTCATGTGAGTCATGAGAGTGTTGGTTTATTCAGGTGGGCAGATCAACAGAAAGCCCTATCGACTTCGTGGTTACAGACACCGTTTCTGGTGGCCAGAACGATGAAGCTCAGATCACACAGAGCACCATCTCCAGATTTGCCTGCAGGATTGTGTGTGACAGGAGTGAGCCATACACGGCACGCATATTCGCGGCTGGATTCGACTCCTCCAAAAACATCTTTCTTGGAGTAAGTACTGCAGATCCATTCTGGTCTGAAAACCCACCTACTCCTGTAACAGTTGCTTCATCTGGGAGGGAACTGCTTTGTGCAGCGCTGTAGTGAGACTTTTGAAGTTTTGTCTTCAGAAGCCAGCCTGAAAAGATGGTGGTGAAAGCCTGAGGGCATTCTGGTTATATGTGCCCAACACTCAGGGCCAGCCTGTACTACATAGAGAGACCGTGTCTCAGTCAAAAGAAAGCACTCTACAGACTGCTCGGTTATTGTTGCCCTTGTTTCTGCTGTATCAATTATAATGTATGCTGTAATGATTTTTAAAGAAGTACTTGTTAACATTATAATACACTCATGGTGAATTTGAGAAGAAATGTCAAGGGGAAAAGTAAGTGGCCAAATATAGACAGTTAGAACTCAGAGGAAACTTGACTGTTCGTTGAAGGGTGAGTGTTTGCTCTGCTCCATGCTGGACGTGGTTTGTGGTAACAAAACAAAGGCCCGGCCTCCTAGCATAGCTTGATAAACAAACTGAAAAGTGTTAGTGACTGTTCTGTCTTAATATAAATACCTTTTGCTTCAGAATATTGGCTGCAGAGAGAAAATTGTCCATTGTGACCTAAAGAATAATAAGAAATACATTCTCCCACATGGCAGGAAGTACCGAGGGAAGCCAGTTGAGCACTGTCTGATGCGGTGGCCCTGGGGCATCTGGGACCAATTGTCTCTGTCTAGCCCGTTGCCTTTCCTGGCACACTAGCCACCTGGGGGATTGGCTAGGGGAGGGCTGCTCCCGAGCTTCCCAACATCTGCTTCATGGGGCAGCTGCCAGAGAAAGAGGAGGGAGGCGGTGAGACTCTGTGCTTCTGTTTCTTCCCGGGGCAAAGCCACCTTCCTGCAGGCACATCCTTCCCTGGGCATTGGGAAGCCTGGGGCTGTTCCTGTGGGTTTACACTGAGCAGGACCCTGATCCTTCCTGCCCTGGCACGTGGACAGAACATGATGAGTTCTGCCAGGAAAGGAGAGGGCGACAGCAGGGTAGCGAGCAAGAATGTCTGTCCCATCACTGTCACTATCGCCTGGAGAATAGACATCTGTTTGCATGGAAACACACTGGCCCCCAAGTTAGTGGCTTAATCTTTTTAAGTTTGTGCCTTGAACAAAAAGTACTTGTTAGAATATTGTTTTTCCTTCAGTGTCCAGGTAACGAGTGCTTGTAAAGCATTTTTAGGAGCAGGCTTGACAGGGGTAGGCGGTCTTGGAGTGAGGAACTGAGGGGAAGGTAATGTGTAGCTTCAGACAACATCTCTCCTGTTGTCAGAGCAGCACACTGATCCTACAGTTACAACACTAAATAGAAAAGGAAATCCCTTTTCTCTCTTCCGTCTTGTGTGCGTGCGCCACCACCGCCCGGCTAGCTTTCCACTGTATTTTAAGGAGATTCTGAAGTCCCCTCTCTGAGTGTCACTTTCACTTTCTCTGGTTTGTGGTTTTGTTCTCCAGGAAAAGGCAGCAAAATGGAAAAACCCTGATGGATACATGGACGGGCTCACCACCAATGGTGTTCTGGTGATGCACCCTCGAGGGGGCTTCACAGAGGAGTCCCAGCCGGGAGTCTGGAGAGAGATCTCTGTCTGTGGAGACGTGTATACCTTACGAGAGACCAGGTCGGCCCAGCAGAGGGGAAAGCTGGTGAGCGGACTCTGCTCTTGGAAGTGTGCCAAAGTGCAGACGCCTCACGGCGGCCATCTTCACGGCGGCCATAACCTTCCCACTGATAAAGCTCACAACCTTCGTGCAGGGTGGAGTGTGCCATTCTCTGATCCAGAAACAGATTTCCATAAACTCCAGACTTGAAGGGGTCCCGTCCTTGTAGCTGGCCATTCCTGTGGGGACGTGTGTTACTTTTCATCCTGTCTTAAGAACGGGATCCTTTCTTACATTTATTACTAATTCAGAAGGATCCTGAGCAGTGGGAGACAGTGGGTGAAATTTTTATATTAAAGAAAGATCTAGATTTTCTAAAACTAAGAAATAGCCAAGTTGGCATTTCCACCCCCTTAGTTTCGTGGTTAGAAATGAATAGGTTTCTAGGTATTTTTCGCCAGGGATAAGGATAGAATACTTTGTTAGAAGTCACTCCTGCACCACATTGGCATGCTGGTGTCTCCTAAGTGTCATTGGAAGCCTTAAATCAGGTGCTTCTGGCGCCCGTTTTGGTCCTGAGCGGCAGTCTGAGGCTTCTGGCTATGTGGTAGCTGTGGGACAGGCCTTGAAGGGCATCCTCGCCTTTCACTCCCGCTTTGCTGCACAGGAGCCAGGAGGAGGGAGCAGGGCCCTTTTCTAGATTATGGAAAACACTGTAGATAGAGCACACTGTGCGGGAGTGTGTCTGTGAGCTGCAGAGAGCCACGTTTCTAGGATGGAGAGAGGACGCGGACCCAGTGAGCAGTTGGCTGTCCTATGCCTGAGATTTGTTTCTAAGGAATCCCTCTGTTATCTCTGATTCACACCCTCTAGGGGCAGGGGAGCGCCCCTTCCCATCTTACAGCAAGGCTGCCTTGTCAGTGTCTCTCATGAATACACAGGAAAAGGTCAGGTCGAGGCTGCTTTATTTAAGTACTTTTCGAGAAATTATAAATAGGAAAGGGAGTCTGAGAACAGTTTCTTTACAGAAATGTTTCTGATGACCCAGTAGTTTTACACACGGCTGGCCTGGGTGGGTGGACCTGTGATCAGTCCTTACAGACAGTGGGTACAGAAGCTGCATTAGCACTCTTTCCACGGCTCAGCTCCTTCCCCCTGCACCACAGCCCCCAAGGAAGAAGTCACCCACCTTAGCTCTGAAGATGCATCACTAAGCCAGACAGTGGCCGCAGCTGAGATTCTACCTCCGGCCATGAGTTCTACTCCATGCTATATGACAAAAGCCTGTGCTTGGTGCTCACCTGAACTGGTTCACGCTTGAGCATTTGCTTGCCAGTGTGAATAGAAGCCGCATACTGAGCTGGGCACAGCAGCCCCTGCCTCTGTTGCAGCACTTGGGAGGTGGAGGCAGGAAAATTGTTGAGTTCTGGGTCTCACTGGGCTACATAGTGACACCCTGTGTCAAAAACCAAAGAGGAGGAAGATAGCTCAGTAATACAGCTCTTACCTAGCCTGTGCCAGGCCCTGCACTCAGTCTGCTGCAGGAAAAAAAATGAAGTAAAGCTACCCTGAGACCCCTGGCAAGATTGTCCAGCGAGCATGTCACCAGGTAGACTTCTTATCCTCTCTGATTATGGCCATATGGCTTAGGCAGCAGTGTGTGCCATAAACTTTTGCTAAAGTTGCTAAAAAGAAATGACTCCAAAAATGCCTTGTATTGGTGGTAGTGCGTGGATGTGTGTGTATATGTGTGTGTGTGTGTGTTCACATGTGCACACAGAATGACAGGACAACCTCTGGGATTGTTCCTCAGGCACTGCCTGCCCGTTTTAGACAGGACCTTGCCCAGTAGGCTAAGGTAGCTAGCCAGTGATTCCCAGGGATCTTCTTGTCTCTGAGATGGCAAGGATATAATGCCACACCTGGCTTCTTTACAGGGCAAGTTCTTTCCCAACCAACCATCTTCCCCAGCCCAGACAGACTCATTTTGAGATTAATGCCTATCAGTAACATGTCTTAGATCTGTAGGTAATGTGGACACCTTTCCTCTTAAATCAAAATCTTAGAACTGTTGGGCCTCATACTCTATCTGTTGCCACAGACACTCTTTGTGTTGAGAAGGAACCTGGACCAACCGCCCTGCACCCCTCCAGCCCCCCTACTCTAGCGTTAGATGGGAAGTACCGAAAGACACTCTGATTCCCGGCACCAAGACCTCCCACCCAGCCGTCTAGCGTGGGCCCACTGCCTCATGCTGTGTTGTCCACCACCAGTGTTCCCAGCCTACTCAGTTCCCTAGGGCCCTGGGAGCTTCTCGTCCACTCCATGCGTAGGATGACACATCTCTCTGGTCTGCTGGTCTTTTCACCCTCTTCCTGGCTCCTAACAGCTTTTTCAAATCTCCATTCAAGAAAAATTCTTCAAAACCCTTTTCTGTCCTGTTTTCATCACGGGACAGCACCGACAGTGTTCACTGCATGCCGGGCCTTCCACCTTCCAAGGATTCCCTTTTTCTCATGTAACCCTCACTGCCACCTTCTGCATTCCAGAGAAAGGGGGAGTGTGGGGCTATACGCCCCAGGAACCACCCTGGTCACACAGCTGTAAGTGACAAAGCCAGGTCCACAACAGGCCAAAAGCCCGAGTCTCTTCTCAGCCGCTGAGGGTCAGCAGCCAGCCTCTCAGTGCTTCCTTCACGGGCCTCCCCTGGCTCCAGGCACACCTGCTTCCTGCTCCCTCTCCTGAGTAGTGCAGTTTCTGCTTTGTTTCTACTGGCACAGTAGAGGTGAGCTGAGTCTGCTGACGAGGCCTAACCCTGCTGCTGCTTAGCTGCTAACCACCTGTGCATAGCCCAGGCGTCCTGTGCAAGCAAGCCTTTCAGGAAGGTCCACCCCTGACAGAGAAGGTATGTGCAGCGAAAAGGTCGCCGGGAGTGTTGGATGCTGTGGCACCGGCTCTGCTAGAGGAGCGTGGTCTTCCCGGGCAGCACACCCGTCATCCCTCATAAGGTGTATGGGTGAATTACCAACATAGAAAGTCAGAGGTGAAAATGTAATGTGTGTGAGATCTTAGAGGAACCTCTGCAGTGATCGTAAAGGAAAGCTCAGCACTGTGCTCTGAGCGCTGCACTCTGGACTGCTGTGTGTACTGAGGCTTGGGGGTGGGGGGAGCGGGGAGTCCTGTTCAGTCAGATGTGTTACCTCCCTGTGTCTTCTGTGTCCTTAAGGAAAGGATGTTGGGATGCCTTTGCTGCAGAGTTTGCAGGATTTTGCTTTTAATGGTCCCTCTGTTGAACCTGTTGTAGGTGGAAAGTGAGACCAACGTCCTTCAAGACGGCTCCCTCATTGACCTGTGTGGAGCCACACTTCTCTGGAGAACCGCCGATGGCCTTTTTCACACTCCGACTCAGAAACACATTGAAGCCCTCCGGCAGGAGATCAACGCAGCCCGACCCCAGTGCCCTGTGGGTCTCAACACCCTGGCCTTCCCCAGCATCAATCGGAAGGAGGTGGTGGAGGAGAAGCAGCCCTGGGCATACCTGAGCTGTGGCCATGTGCACGGCTACCACAACTGGGGCCATCGGAGTGACAGGGAGCCCAACGAGCGGGAGTGCCCCATGTGCAGGACTGTGGGCCCCTACGTCCCCCTCTGGCTGGGCTGCGAGCCAGGATTTTATGTTGATGCCGGACCCCCAACTCACGCCTTCACCCCCTGTGGACACGTGTGTTCAGAGAAGTCTGCAAAGTACTGGTCTCAGATCCCACTGCCTCATGGAACCCACGCATTTCATGCCGCCTGTCCGTTCTGCGCCACACAGCTGGTTGGCGAACAGAACTGCATCAAACTGATTTTCCAAGGTCCAGTGGACTGACACCCTGGGCAGCCACTACACGTTATTAACAAGTTACTGTGAAGATTTTGCCACTAACTCTAGATTCTATCTTTCTGTAATGCTCTTTGTTAAGGGAAAGGCAGACGGGGTTGGGGAAAAAGAGGGGGGTTCTGGTTATGAAACATGGCAGATGTTGACAGATAACACTGTGTTTTGCATGCTTGGAACAGCAGCAGCAGCAGCATTGAGGTCTGCTTGATTAAACCTTAATACCTGCGTAATAATTGGATTTCAACTACCATGCTTTTATTATTAACTTTGGGATTTTAACCAAGTTTTTGTTTCGTTTTGTTTTGTTTTGTTTTGCTTTATAAACTTAGACAAGGTTTTACATCCTTTTTTATAAGTGTAGAGGAATCTTATTCAACAGTTGTCTCTTAGTGCGCAGCGTGCAGTGTTGCGAGGCACAGGTGTCACCTACAAGATGTGCAGTGGCTGGGAATACTTGACAGTGGCCAGAATCAGACCCAATACCAGGGTCAACTGTTGGCTTCCCAGCAGCTCCAGGGGGACAGGAGGCATAGGCAAGGCACTTGTTTTCCAACCTACAGCTTTGTTTCTCATTTATTTTCTGACTTTGGGTGGAAGAGAATATCCATATGTTAACTTTATTTTAACTTGAGCAGAATTTATTCACACACCCACTCATCAGACACGCAGCATATCAAACAAAGGCTTTCCTGGAATTCCTAATCTGCCCTGTTATTTTTGCTTAATATGGGCTGCCTCTCATCTTCATCTTAACACGTCAAAAACTGATTGATTGGTTAATTAAAATCAAGCAACTTTGCGAAATTGACGAGCTGAGGGTGGCGGCAGCAGCAGGAGTCGTGAGCCCCACAAGGCTGTTGCATCTGTGAGGCTCTGTGAGCATGTCCTGAGTCCACTAATTCAACCTTATCTGCACACCAAGGCTCTGTGGGCGTGTCCTGAGTCCATTAATACCAACCTTATCTGCATACCAAATTGCTCAAGACCCAAGAGAGATTTAAAATATGATTTTACTTCTAAAGTCACTTGACACTTCATTGTATGACTTCCTCCCTCCTCCTCTTCCTTGTCCTTTTTTAGAAAGCTACATTTTGTGAGCCCCAAAGCAAGAAATGACAGTGGAAGTGTCATTTTTCACTGCCTTCCCACCATCGGTTACCTTCCCTTTGAGGTGAAGGAGCCCCATATGTTTTGAAAATGTGTGCAAATCAAACCAAGTTTAAATGTGATCACTAGATACACAGAGCACCGAGGGTATGTCTGTGATCATTTGAAATTCCTGATTTTGAGAGAGCAAGTGAGTGGTCACTGAGAAATAATTAAATCAGAATTTCACTAGTTGTGCTAGCCCTTTGTTAGTTTCACTTTGTGTTGATTAATAATTCCTGAATACTCATTCTCTGGGTTTGGTGCCCGGACTATTGTGGCTCACAGAGTGTGGATACTCTGTCGGGCTTAGCTACATTCCATCATTCCCAGGGAGAAAGTCTTCAGTTAAGCTAACATCTGTTTAAATGGACCGTCAACAGACTTGAGCTGCCCGGTTTTGCGTTAGTAAATATGTATAATTTATGTGAATCTGATATACCATGTCCATACTTGAATTGGATTTTCCAAATTTTGCCTATTTACAGATATTTCCCCTATTTTCAACAAAGTAAACCTATTTGAATACCTTTTCTTAAAAACAAAAAGGAATATTACTCTCTAATGCTGCTGCCTCCCTGGACCAAGTATGCTGGGTTTATCTGTCAGTTTTAAAATAGCTTTATTTTTCTGGGGAGACCATTGTGTAGGAAGAGGTAATTTTTGTTTTAATTATATTTATGATGTGAAAATCCAACAACAGTCTTATTTCTATTAATTTCCTCTGTTCTACATAGATTACCTACAGGCAAAAAAGAAAGAAAAAGAACTTTCTAGAAAAACCCATTGGCTGCCATCTGATACAGCAGAGCTTCGAGCACTGGCTTTTCGGGAAAGATAAAGAGCGTGCTCCTTCCTCCCCTTGGTATATGGGCAGTTTGACAGTTCTTGATTCCTAGTAGTATCTTCTAAGGTGAAGGAAGGGTCTTAACCCAGAAAGGTTGAATTTCACCCATCCGAAAAAAATATCTTTTGAGGACATTCCACTCTGATACCAGACCCCTCTGTGTCAAGTTGTCTGCTCATTCTGCGCATGACTTATGCGCCTAAACAAGGGAAGCATCTGACCTCTGAATCCAAGATTGTAGACCCAGCTGCTAGCTCTCCGGGGGCAGTAGCCACCTTTATCATTTCCTTGGGTTTCCAGGTGAGGAGCACAGCCATGTCACCTGCAAAGGAAGCTGTGCTGACTTGGACAACTTGTGATAAGATCACTTTCTGCTGAGGGAAGGGTTTCTAAGAATAAAGAACTAGTTCATCCATGTAGAGTGATACAGCTGAGAAAAGGAATCTTCCCCAAGGTCACCTCTGTTTTCATGTTGACTCGCCATCACATTTAAAGGATGCATCCTAATCCCCCCACCCACATGTACATAAGGACATCACCAGCCGCTTGCCCTGGTCTCAGCCTGACCAGTTGTCTTTTTCAAATAGGTTTCCAGAAGTACAGACCAGTTACATGCTTCCATAGATGATAGCTCTTTCCATTCTTTGTGTCATTTCATTACAAAAAAAAAAAAAAGAAAAAAAAAAGTTCAGAGCGAATGGGAGACAGCTCTGAGTATTTTTCTAGTGTTTTGTTATAACTGATCGGTGTGCTGGGCCACGCACACTGCAGCTCTCCACCTTTCTCTGATTTCCTTCAGCTTTCTGCAAAAAGGGCTACAGTTCACACTGCAGAGGAAGTGTTAAGCTTTCTGGTTCTCTCTCACACACACACACTTCTGTGGCCCAAAAGAAGTAAAATCTTTTAATATAAATAGAGAGCATATTTATATCATTCCTCAATAGTTAATTATAGTGTTTGGTACCTTTGTGCCTCAGGGACGCCACGTGATGTAACTGGTTATAGACTTTCAGGGTTAGGGTGTAGAGAAAGGAGAAAGCCATTGGAAAATGCGATGGGCTCCATTAAGGAGACTAATTAATCTAGTGCAGAAGCATGCCAGGACCGGCATAAATGTGATTGTAGTAGAATCTGTTTCCCAGTACTAGTAGGGAAATTATTTTAAGTTATTGCATATACTGTATTAGGAGAGTTGAGAACTCTTCATAAAGCATCGATGCCTCTCACTTTTGCTTACCAGTCTCTGTTCTTGGGCGCTCAGTATTGATATTTGAGCACGTTTAGGGAACACGTTTTCTGCTTAGGTGTACTAAAGGTTGTTCCACGGTTTCACTCAGCTTCTCTCCTTCTCCAGAGCTGTTCTGTTCTTTGGATGTGCCCGAGAGGTGGCTAATCATGTCGCCGTCAGTGCTGTCTTACCTCTCTCGGTGGGCACGCAGACAGATACCCCAGCACCGGATTTCAAGCCACATGTGCTTCTGTTCCCTTGGCTGCCAATCTCGCGGCCCATTGTTCTGCCTTTCGGACCAAGGGTCTGGAGCTCCTGCCGCGGTGGTGAGCACAGGACACAGCTCCGCTCATTGCATTAGTGCCCAAGGCCGGGGAGGTAACTTGGGGATAGTTTTAGGAGACACTAAGCATTGCTGAAGAGGTAAAACAGCGTTCTGTCTTGTCTTTTTAATAATATGTCCTCACAAGTGTCTGCCCCCATGACTCCCTAGTGGACAGGAAGGAAAAACAAGTATATCTTCCAGTTCAGCTTAACTTTCTAAAAAGAAATTAGTGTGCTGAAAGGAATGTTCTGTCTTTTAAGCTGAGATCACAGATTGCTTCTCTGTATTAAATAACCTAGAAGTTGGGGGCTGGTCATATTTACCATGTATAGTGTTATAAGCAGTTAAATTTTATGGTTATATTTGTAAAATCTGTTCTTTTGTATTTCATGTCCAATTGAAAATTTTATTTCTTCACTGTTGTACTTGTGGAAATACAAGCCATTTTACAGGGGAAAAGTCTTCAAAAGCTATTAAACAAATCTCCCATGTTTGTAAGTCGTCCGCGACTCTGTTGTTAGCACCGGCTTCATCAGGACATTCAGTAGGACATGGGTACAAATGTAGACTTGATTGTGCATTTCCTAACTTCCACACAAATCCCAAACAGACGGGTTGACTGTTGTTTTATACTCTGCACACCGCAAACTTAAATCTGTGTTCTGAAAAAATCCCCCAATTTTTTATTAAACTCCATTGGTGCTCATATTATAATCTCTTGTGACATTTTATCACTGTCAAATAAATGTAACTTGTAGGAGACTTTTACCTGGCTTGTAGAATTAATGGATTTTTTCATGATTATTATAATTGTGTTACTACTTTTGTGATAGCTTTAATTTCTTTTTAATAGCGAAAGGATGGTGTATAGGCCTTCAAGTCTTAAGCTAGTGTGTCTGCCATAGGATATATTTGCACTTGTAGGAGGTTTTTTTCTATCCATATTGATATCAAGGATTATTACTATTGTTGAGAGAAATAAGATTTTTTTCATTAAGAAAGAATGCAAACGTAGCCTTTTATGCAAGAGACAAATGTTCTATTTTTATCAAATTTGAGATGTCATGAATTGTAAAATGTGTTTCTGTAGTCAAACAGCCAGTTATACTTGTAAGGTATATGCTACTCAGCAGGTGTGCTGGGATTCCTTCAGTGTGTGTGTGGGGGGGGGGAGAACAGTGTTTTCAACAAATGGGTGGGGGACCACTGGATACATCCATGCAGAAGAATGAAATGAAGGCCCTACCTCCGACAGTATGCAAAAATAACTAAGCATGCAAGCTCAGTTGGCCAAAGAGCAGAGCTGTAGAATTTAGAAGAAAACAAGCTCTGGTGTCTAAGTTAGTCAGTGGTGTCTTACAGTACAGTCACAGAAAAAGCAAAAGGAAAGAATAATGAACAAATTGGATTTCATTGAAAGTAAAAACTTCGGTGCACAGAGTGAAACTGTCATAAGTAGAAAGACACAAAATAGGAGTGACAATGTATGGTGGCCATAGGTTTCACAAGTATTGAATCAAGTGTATGTAAGAACTTCAACTTGTTGGCAAAAACACCACCCACCAACAAAGGTCAAAGTTTATTTTTTTTCCAGAGAAGATCCCTAAGTGTCCAACAAGCATATAAAACATGCTCAACATTATTAGCCATGGGAGATGCAGGTTAAAACTACACAAATCCTACTTTTATGTCTTCTGGGAAAGCTAAAAAATAGAGCAGCACAGGACTTCTTCAAGAGATTGGAACGTGATAGGAACAACGCTCCTGCTTTGGGACAAGCAGTTCCCGGAATGCCCACTGCGCAGTTATGTGATGTGGCAATCTATTCGCAGGTGTCTGCACAGAGAGTTGAAAACACAGAAGCGTGGATGGACGTCCCTTAGACCTTTAGCTTAGGAAGCCACAGGTGTCCCTGCCATCCACACTCCAGCTCTGCCTCTTTTCACAATCAGAGTCCCTCTTGTGCTTTATTGTCACCCCCCCCCCCAGGGTCACCCTTAGTCTCCTGGGCCCCAGTTTCCAGGCCTTCACCTACCTGAAGATGCATGTTTAACAAAGGCCAGAGTCTGCGTATAAGAGTGTGTGTGTGATTTTTCCTTCTGAGCCTGGCCGGCCCAGCTTAATGATTTACAGGTCCATCCACTTCCCTGCCAGTTCTGTGTTTCTTTATGACAGGATGCAATGCTGTGTGTGTGTGTGTGTGTGTGTGTGTGTGTGTGTGTGTGTGCAACAGCTCCAGTGTCAATCTGTCTGCTCAGAACATCCAGGCTGTGCAGAGTCATGCATGCGTCAGTGATGGTGCAGTGTTCTCCATAATAGCAAAGGCCTGGAAACAATCCAGAAGTCCATCACCTGAGAAAGTTAAACAAGATACATATACATATGATGAAATTTGAACTGAAAAAATGAAGTGCTGGTACGTACTTCAGCACAGATTAACCTTGGAAATACATTATGTTTGTGAGAAACCAGACACAAAAGTCAACATGTGTGTCAGAAACGGAAATCCACAAAGGCAAATTAATCGTCACTGGGTTTTAAGGGAAAATAAAGAATGGTTATAAATAGGTATAACGTTTATGGGGGCTATCATGAACATGTTCTAAATTTAGCGGTGGTCGGTCAACTGTGACTGTGCTAAAAACAAAAACACTGAATTGTGCACTTGAAAAAAACAACCACATGAATTTTATCTCAAAACTTATTTTTATAAAGGATACACCCTAGTGCCGGGAGGTGAAGGCACTTGCCACCAAAAGTCTGAAAACCTGAGTTTGATCCCAAGGATCTACATAGTGGGAAGAGAGAATAGACATTCCATAAGTTGTTCTCTGAGCTCCAAACACCGTGACATGTGCATGCCTACACACACATGCACACACACTACACAATACACACTCATACACCCGCACGCGCACACCATTAATGAAGAAGATGATGAATAAACAAATGTGATTTTTTTATTGTAAGTTGCATCCTAAATTCCAAATTCTGAGTGTTAGGTTGTGAAAATTTGGGATCTTAAGGTTAAGTGACATGCTATAATTTGGTTTGGTTCTATGCGTGGCAGTATCTGACTTCTGTATTTGGTCTGACTTAAGATGTTCCCTAAAGTCTGTCACGGTAGTGGTATTTCTTTTGTGTTTTAATAAATAAAGCTTGTCTGAGGAGCAGAAAAGTAAAACAGCCGCACTGGCCAGCCTTGCAGACCAGGCAGCAATGACACACACTTTAATCCCAGGAGCCACACTAGCTTGTCATAGAAACCAGGCAGTAGTGGTGCACACCCTTAATCCCAGAACTAGAGAGGAATATAAGGATTATAGAGGAGGAGACAGCTCGGGGACACAGTCTCATTCTGAGATTCCTGGAGGCAGGATCACTATTTTCAGACTGAGGTAGAGGTAAGAGCCAGTGGCTGGCTGCTTTCTTTTCTGACCTTCAGGTTGAATCTGCTCTGTGTTTTCACTGACTGTACCTCATGTCCCTGTGTATCATCTTTCTACTTGCTGTTAAAGAGTGTGTGCTATCAGCCTTCCAAAGGCAGGTTAGCAGACCGCTGCAGCGGCCCACTCTGCCTCTTCCCATCAGGAGGAAAGCACAGAATGCATTCCCAAAAGCTTCAAAATCCACTTTATTTAAGAAGCACCCATCTGGGTTTGGTGGTGATATGACTATATAATTCTGCTGCTGAGAAGGTAAAGAGGTGGGAAGATCGAGAGTTACAGGTCACAGTGAGTTCTAGGCCGGTCTGGGCTACGTGAGGCCTCATCTCTAGGAAAGAAAGGAGATATGGAGGAGGAAGAGAAAAGAAAGCTAAGGGAGGGAGGAAAAGGTACGTCTTTGTAAATGAAAATTTTTTTATAAAATAAAAACCAATAGCTATTGTTAAAAAAAAATAAACTTGGAAGGTATAAAGTAAAAGCTATCCATAGTCTCAAATGAAAATTCTTAGCATTTAGAACTACATATTTCTAAACTCAAAAACCTATTTTAAAATTTTAACTTCAAATTTGAATGCTATGGTTTGAATCTGAAATTACCTCTCTCCCCATAGGTTTACATCTTTAACACTTGGTCCCCAGTTAATGGCACATTTTGGAAGGATGAAGGAGGCTTTAGGAAGTGGAAGCTTGCTAGAGAGAGTGACTTACTGGGGTGGGTCTTGAAGTTTCTTAGCCTGGACCTCACTTTCTCCTCACTGCTTCCTGAGTGTGGCCGAGATGTGACCAGCCAGTCTCTTGACCCTGTCACCTGCTTCTCCCGGACTGCTGCTACATCTTTCCCGGCATGCTGGACTGTGTCTCTCTAAACCAGGAGCCCAAATCAGCCCTTTCTCCCTTAAGCTGCTGTTGTCAGGGCTGTTTTATCACAGCGACAAGAAAGTAACAAAGACAGGAGGTTTAAAAAAAAAGCCATGTATAATTCCATCACCTGGAAATGGTCATTGTTACTATTGGCAGAGTTAGCTATAAACTTAAAACATGTCTGCTCTTAGGCCACATACCAGGAAACAGGACCCACAGCCACAGGTATGGCTGACGCCAATTGGAGCTTTGGGGCTTTTCTTGGTTATTGCTTTTCCTTACCTGTCTCTGCTGTGTCTTTGTTAGTAGGCAGCTGACTTCTATGGCACAACGTCCTCTTACATCCCAAACCACCCCCTCACTCGGTTTCTTCAGATCTATATTCTCCTGAACAACACTAGAGTGCCTCACGTTGAACAGGTGTTCAGCAGACAGTCACAATATAAATTTGAAAAAGAAAATATTTTTGTACAGTTGGACTACGGGTGCTAAGTCTCTGGAATCCACATAAACGTGGAACGAGAGAATTTCATAAAGCTATTCTCTGACCTTCCCATGCATATCACACACACACACCACCACCACCACCACTACCACCACCTGAATAACCAATTCGATAATTCATGTTGAAAAAGGAAAGAAAAGTTTATAAAATTTCAAAATTTCCAAAGTCAAAAAATACAAATAAACTATGGTTAATTTATCATTTAAGAAAAAATGTAAATAATTTTAGCATAGCCCAAGAGTCCAGTGATACCCTGGGGTCTGTAGCATAGCCTCAGAGTCCAGTGATACCCTGGGATCAAGACCCTACCTTTAACTTCACTTCGCTGACACCCAGAAGGGCTTTCTTTTTTTAATTAAATTTTTAAAATTTATTTTACATACCAACCATAGTTGCCCCTCTCTCCTCTCCTCCAGTTCCCTCCTCCCATCTCCTTTCTGTGCTCCCACCCACTCCTCAGCAGGGTAAGATCTTCCATGGGAGTCAGCAAAGCCTGGCACACCAAGTTGAGGCAGAACCGAGCTTCTCCCGCCTGCATCAAGGCTGAGCAAGCGATCCCACCACAGGGAATGGGTTCCAAAAAGACAGCTCATGTGCTGGGGACAGATCCTGGTCTCACTGCTAGGGGCCCCACAGACAAACTGAGCTACACAACTGTCACCCACATACACAGGGCTTAGGTCAGCCCCAGGCTGACTCCCTACCTGTGGGTCTAGGGTCTGTGAGCTTCTATGAATTCCGGTCAGTTGTTTTTGTGGGTTTCTCCATCATGATCTTAACCTCCCATGCTTATATCATCCCTCCCCGTTGTCTTTAACTGGACTTCTGGAACTTGGCCCAGTGCTTGGCTGTGGATCTCTGCATCTGTTTCCATCAGTTACTGAATGAAGGTTCTATGGTGACAATTAGGGTAGTTACTGATCTGATTACGGGAGGCCAATTCAGGTACCCTCTTC